TATATATATATATATATAAAATATTAAATAAAAGTAAAAGGTTGAGTTTCAGCTAGTATTTACATTTAATTTTAAAGTGCAATGATTATGAGCTAATGTGAACAATTTCATTTATTTTATATGTGATAAGACTTTTAAAATGAAATGAACAATAGGCCAATGTTTTGAATATTTAGAAGTGCTTCCAGGAAGATAATTACGGTAAATGATAATAATTCATGGTGTTTATTTGTATATTATTTTATTTCATTCTCCTACTCAAATTACTATGTATGTAAATGAAATAGTGTGTTACAGAAATTTAGTGACAATGTTAAAAAAAAAATTATTGCCCCCTGGTTCTGTAATTTAAAGTATTCAAATAATTGGACTGGCAGAACTTATTTACACAACTATTTATTTGCTTGCAATGAACATTAGAATCCCTAGCTTCCATGCTATCACTGTGATGAAAATATTTTCTGAAGGTTGCTATCTCTAGCAACCTCTTTAATGGCATATTATTTTCATAAGCCAATATATCTAAGTTACTTAGATTACCATAATTGGAGTTTATAGCAGACGATTGGTGAATGTTGCTTTCATCTGCTCTAGATATATAGCATGATTGTTACAATTTAATTCATATATTTTTTGTTAGAAGTTGATTTTAATATTCATGATATTTCATTTGCCCTGTTCCATGTTTATATACAACTGTTATGTAACGTCCTTGATCTGTAAGGCAGTTCACAATAAAGTCACATTATTATCAACTGCGTGCAGGACAGAAATGTAATTTTTAATTTTATAAACTATTTTGTCACCAAAGTCAAAGATATTTAATTAAAGTTGGACTTTTTTTATCTTACTTATTTAGCCAAACAAAACTATAAATCATCACATAAGTTTGGATGTAGAGAAATAAATATTTGATTTATACATTTATGTATGGATAATAAATGGAACAAATGTTAAATAGTTTTACAGGTTTTTTTGGCAAAAATCTGTCTAGTAATATCTCTCTAAAAGTAATTTAAAAAACACAAATTTGTTTAGTCTGCAAAATATTAAAGAGATAGGGAAAGATGACAATAATATCTCACACCTCCACAGTTGTAAGCATTTGTTGTTATTATTAGACACTTTAAAAAGAGAAAATGCATCCTACTAGTTTGTTGAAGGTGGAGACAATATATCTATTATCAAATGTTGCTGAGTAATGCACAATTTTCACTGTAATAATTAATTAATTTAATATCTCATTGAACAACAATAAAATAAAAATATAAAATAGTCATATTATAGTATTTACTTAATTTAATTTAATGAAATAAGTTTGTATTGTCGTTATAAATGTCTTAAAATAGGCCGGCACTACGTACACCGCTGCGGTGTACCTAGCGAAACTATTGACTCTGGCCTGCGTACACCGCGGCTGTGTACCTAGCTAAATCATGGTCTGTGGCCTGTGTACACCGCAGCGATTTAAAGTAGCAAAACTATGGTCTTTGCGAGTCTTTAACTTTTTGGCCTAACCGGTACTTGTAGATTTAAGGTTATACTCGTGTTAAAACTGAAAACTATTTATTTAAAATTCGTTTATTACCTTGGGAAGATATTGAGTAAGTTCCACACTTATGTGGCAAAGTACATGTAAAGCATTTCTTATTATTTTTTGGAAGGGAGGGGGCTGGGGGTGTAATGTTAAACCATGATTTATTTTTAAAGTTAACCACACTATTCCCCCCCTCCCCCCATATATTGAAATACAAATATATTTATTAATTGTTGTAAGTTTTATCATATGATTGTGACTCTTAATAGGCATAAAAAGGGGAGCTAATTTGAAATTATTCTCTCATGCCCCTTCCCACCCAGTTGTTTTTTTGTGTTTTTTTTGGGTGGGGGTGCATTATAAATATAACATTGTATGTGATCCCTCGGGGCGTGGTGTAAAAATGAATGGGAAGCCAGTGAATCTATTTTGTTAGCACCAAGATATAATTACGCCACAAATACACTACGGGAAGAGAATCACATACTCATACATTGATCATGAAGTCGTGAAGTTAAAGTTGTCCGAGGCATTGTCATTGTGATACCAAGCGTGTGTCAACACAAAACAGGCAGTAAGATGATAAATACGAAACACTGCAGTGATTTTTAAAATTCTTTTAACAATAATTAAATATCATTGATTTAGTTTGACATTGGCATTACACATTTGTAAAAAATACCGGCGGAAAGGGGGGGGGGTGCAAAAGGTAAGTTTGTTGTGCGGACGTCCTTTGTGGACAACCCCTATCCTGAGCCGTGATTTGTGAATGCCCCCTTTTTGGTTAAGCCTCTGCCCATAACTCATCACCACCCCCCCCACACCCCCTTGCAAGGATCAATTTCTTAACAATTAAAAAAAAAACAACAACAAATACAAAAACTTTGACATAGTGCAAATCCTGTCCCAAGCCCATTGTGCAATTGGTTTCTGTGAGAAAACGTCATGTTTTACCCTGAGAATAGCACACGCCATGTCATTCTGGAAACAAATTCCGTCATGAAAAGGGTAAACGCAGACCTATGGCTTTGCTATACAGTTTGCTACCGCTCCGCAAGTTTCTAAAATCGAGGTGTTTTCAAAAGATTTGCTGTGAGACTGAGTGTTGTGAATGAACCTTTGATATCGTGTGTACATTTGGCCAATGCATAAGGCATAGTCAAAGCAAAATGCTTCAAGGTTGAAATTCGACCATGCACATTAATGACATTAAAATTATATGATATTAATGATATACTGGTATTTTCTTTGGGTGTTCGTAAAAGTAAAATGCAAATATTCAACTACACGAAGAATGTTGAAATACAATAGAATATCACTTAGTCACTTAGTATTCATAATGTTTCTCTAACACATGTTACATACACTATACATGCGCTTTCAGAAACGTTAAGTTTGTTTTCTAATGTCTAAAGTCTTATTACTAAATTTACCGGTATTTTCAAAGTTAGAGGCCGGCACAACTTGTTGAAACACTTATATAGATATAAATATATAAAGTGTTTTTAATATAATGTTTAAACATATATTTAAATTGTTTAATTTGCTACAAAATATTTTAAAACTGAAATGGGACGAAAAAAAACTCGATCCCCGACTGGGAATTGATCTTCTTCTTCTTCTATATCTTAAGGGCCCACGATCAATTATTGATCATTTTGGCTCCTATGCATGTAGATGGGATTTGCAATGTTTCTGTTACTGGTGGTGATGAGGAAATTATGCACTAGGGGTTTGAAGGCTTGAGGCAATAGACACAAATGTGTCTAGTGAACTACATTATCTTGAACTACATTATCCCCAAAATGACTGATTGATCTTTATCCACCGCAGTGGCTAAATTTAGTTTTACTGCGGGAAATTATTTGCATAATTCTTTTCAAAGATGATGATTGCAGCAGTGAGTTTAGAGAGCAACAGCTTTAACAAGAGCTATTGGTTCTGATTGTAGAAATGTATGACTATATACTTTTTTTAATGGCTAAAAAATGCGTTAAGAAGGCGTCCGCCCCCCCCCCCCACACACACCATAAAAAAAATGAAAATAAATAATTTGTCACTCTCTGTGCAGTTTTTAATGTGTCGTACCGTTATTGATTCGATAAACATTAACAATAAAATGTACCGGTTGTGAAGAAATCAGCATTGAGTCACTTAAATGCTTTAGTGTAAGACAAAATTGGAGCACATAAAAAACAACAAAAACAACAACAAAAAAAAACAACAACAAAAAAACAAAAAAAAACAACAAGAAAACCTCCCACTGGCTCACCATTGGCTCTATATGAACGGTAGCTAACGTATTGCTGGCGTTTTTTATCGGCACTGAATGAAACATATTTAAGGGCTTAAATTTTCTGACTTCATCATTTCCATAACTTTTCCAACCACCAGAGCGATGAAGTCTTTGATTGTCGTCTGTATAGGACCGGAAAGTTCTATAGACTACTTGTTAAAATGTTAGACGCGATGAATGAGTCATAGTGTGTCAAATGTTCAAAACAGTCGTTCACACGCTATAACTGTAACCATTTTAACAATTTTAAATATTTATTTAAGGCCGCATTGGTCCATAATTTAATGAATATTTTTCTTCTCCCATAAAAGAAACTTTAGACCAGAAAAAATATCATATCCCGAGGCCGGCAGAAACCTAAAATGTAATTTTGGGCCAGCGGCGTAAGTGAAGGGGGACTTTTTCTCCTTTCAGCCCATTGCAGAGTTGTTGTTGTTTTTTGGAAGGGGTGGGGGGGGGGATCTCCACCCAGCGAGGCACTAACCCTAGCTAACCTTAAAAATTAAGATAGAATCATGTTCAAAAATGTATCACAAATCAGCAGAAATAATAAATATAATAATAATAGAGAGCGAATTTTCGGTATATAAACTGAGCCGTTGCGAGCCCAGTAACCCCTGAGGCTGCAGGGGTCGGATGTTTAAGGAGCCCACATGTGTGAAGTGAAAAACAATTAAAAGAAAATACTTAATCCCAAAAACAATTAAAAGAAAATACTTAATCCCAAAAACAATTAAAAGAAAATACTTAATCCCAAAAACAATTAAAAGAAAATACTTAATCCCAAAAACAATTAAAAGAAAATACTTAATCCCAAAAACAATTAAAAGAAAATACTTAATCCCAAAAACAATTAAAAGAAAATACTTAATCCCAAAAACAATTAAAAGAAAATACTTAATCCCAAAAACAATTAAAAGAAAATACTTAATCCCAAAAACAATTAAAAGAAAATACTTAATCCCAAAAACAATTAAAAGAAAATACTTAATCCCAAAAACAATTAAAAGAAAATACTTAATCCCAAAAACAATTAAAAGAAAATACTTAATCCCAAAAACAATTAAAAGAAAATACTTAATCCCAAAAACAATTAAAAGAAAATACTTAATCCCAAAAACAATTAAAAGAAAATACTTAATCCCAAAAACAATTAAAAGAAAATACTTAATCCCAAAAACAATTAAAAGAAAATACTTAATCCCAAAAACAATTAANAAAAAAAAATAAAAAAAAAAAAAGAAGAAAAAAAAAAAAAAAAAAAAAAAAAAGAAACATTTTTTTATCCGCTGATCACTCATTAAATTTAGTCGGTCTTTCTGCTGTTGATTGATGTCTTGATGCGGGTAATTTTTATATATTTTTTTTTTACTTTAACCATGGCACTTATAATTTATTTGTCCTCAACAAAGAGATGGACAGTCTTAAAATCTTTCTTGCAGTAGCATTCACACCAACTATCTGCGATGCACATGCAAAGCCACGGAGACTAGTTTTGGAAAGCTACAGTGCTATCGCCGATGCCCTTCGTCAATTTATTCCCCGATGTCGCTGTTAATGGAATGGTGATACCAGACTTAAAGCCAATGATCTGTCACAGAAAAAAATAAAGATTTCTTATTTGTGTTTATGCTACAATATCAGTGTAGTGGTTTAATTTAATGCTATTTTCATAAAGTCAGCACACATGTTAATAAATTAAAATTGTTATTTAATGCTATTTTCATAAAGTCAGCACACATGTTAATAAATTAAAATTGTTATTCAGTACCTGTGCGACTTTTTACAGATCACATGAAGGATAGAAAATAAAATAATTTGAGGAACATGAACAATATTATTTGTCTTCGTATTTTTAAATAAAAATAATATTTCGAAACAAACTGTTTGTCACTTTTCTTCCTCTTTCCACTTAAAAAAAAACAAAACAAAAAAAACAACTTTTATATTCACTTCCCTTTTGCTTTTTGCTGGTTGGAAAAATATTGGGACGGCTAATTGACCCACTTCCCGTCCATCTATCGAGCTGAAACTTGGCACATAGACTCATTGCCAATGACAACACGTTCTTTCAACCCCAATCATCACCAAAAAAAAAAAAAAAAAGCTGTTTTCAAGNATTTTTAAATAAAAATAATATTTCGAAACAAACTGTTTGTCACTTTTCTTCCTCTTTCCACTTAAAAAAAAACAAAACAAAAAAAACAACTTTTATATTCACTTCCCTTTTGCTTTTTGCTGGTTGGAAAAAAATTGGGACGGCTAATTGACCCACTTCCCGTCCATCTATCGAGCTGAAACTTGGCACATAGACTCAATGCCAATGACAACACGTTCTTTCAACCCCAATCATCACCAAAAAAAAAAAAAAAAAGCTGTTTTCAAGGGGAAGTTGAAGTAAATATGATTAAAGTTTAAGTTAAAGAGATTCTTTAAAAACAAATATCGCAAGTGCGTCTCGTGCGTAATATGTATTTAATAAAATAAATTTAAAAAATGCATATAAAGGATTGATACGAAAAGCTGCGTTTTTAGGGGTTGCTTAATTTTTGGTGCGGAGTTGTGGGGATTGTTTAATGATAAGAAATATTGAATGGTTAGGTTTAGCCAACATTACAATATTAAGAACGCATTCCAGGTAATACAATGTCATTTTAATCAGATTAACTGATATTGTGTATAAATAAAATATGTAATCATAACAGTATACTAAAATTATGTGTTCCAATGCAAACTAGCTACTAACATGTGAACACGTATACTTAGGTATTTTTTTATTTAGGAGGGTAATTAAAAGGGGCCTCTGAATGAAACTAGCCGAGGGCCTCTAGTTACCTATTTCCGGCCCAAGTCACTATTTTCCATGCCATGTCGCGTAGTCAGAGATGAATTATTATAATATAATTATACCTGTAATTAAACCAATTGAAAAATAAGTATTCATTTTAAAAAAATAATTTTTCTTCTCCCTTTTAAAAATTTGTTTTTTTTCTCTATATATAGTCTAGTTAGAACATTTAAACCAGGCGCAAGGGCGTAGCAAGGGTTAGTGCCGCCATGGGCGTGCCAAGATTTTCGCCCCCCCCCTCCCCCAACAAAAAACTCTGCATTTAGCTGAAAATTCCACCCCACAATGTGAAGGAAAAATATGCACCCAAGGTTTACCGCGAAATCCTCCCCCTCCCCCCTTGCTCTACCTTTCCTACGCCAGGGGCAGGGGTCTAAAAAAACTTTAAAAAAGCGGACTTTGAGGCCAGTCAGGACATCAGAGTTTGGGTATCACTTTTTTGTGTGTTTTTTTTTAAGGTGAATTAATTTTCTATTCACCGTCCTTTGCAAGTTTCTTCGTGAGACGAAAATATCCACAGCTACAGGAGAAATTTTGAGAAATATTGACGGTTCATATCAATATTACAAATACGCAATGAAGAGGAGTAAGCAAGGAAAACTTTTCTTCTGTTTCCAACAGCATTTTTCTCCCTTCTTTCCCGCAATCTTCATCCAATGAAATCGAATCGGTATAGAGCCGCAGAAAATGGCTGCCATCGTACAGTGAAAATTTCATTGTTCAGTTTTATGGCAGTTACAGGACACTAAAGAAATAATTTCACCAAAAAATCTAATTCAATGTAAATTAAAGACACCAAAGACTCACCATGTGTGTTTCATGGCAACAGAGTAATAATTTGTTATCTTACGTTTCAAACACATTATTTTCTGTAGATTAATTTTAAGTAAAATAATGGGCCTATTTTTAGTAATTTAATTTTACTATTTTGATTTTTATTTGGTCTAGTTTATACTACTACTTGTATTACTACTACTAATTAATTTAGGTAAAATTGCTTGAACAAAATATGTTCAGTTAAGGCTAAGGCTTGAAATGAAGACAGTACAATAATGATCAAAAGGATGTTTCAAGTTTCAGCTGGTGCTAGATAAGGCCAATAAGGGTGACCAAATGATCATGAACTGGAAAAAACGGGATACACCCAAGGAGGGTTCGAGGGGGGGGGGTATACCCTCCAGCTTAAGTGGGGTCCAGGGGTCTCCACCGGAAACTGTTTTTTGAAATATGCTCATTTTAACTATGAGACCTAGAAATCTTTTTAAATTTACCTTCAGTTTTTTAATTTGATTTAAACTCTGAAGCATATCATAAACAAAAACAATAATTTTGGGACACAGTCTTGTATGCATCGTCGGCAGAGTTGTGGGGGGGGGGGGAAAGGTGCAGCCATCACCCGACCCCTAATTTACCTTCAGTTTTTTAATTTGATTTAAACTCTGAAGCATATCATAAACAAAAACAATAATTTTGGGACACAGTCTTGTATGCATCGTCGGCAGAGTTGTGGGGGGGGGGGAACAGTGCAGCCATCACCCGAGCCCATATCACTACAGGACTACAGGCACTGGCCACATAGCTAGCCAAAATATTAATTGAAGTTATATTATAAATTAGGAAGTTTTAGTGATTTGAAAATGTGTACTGTTTTAGAAACGGGACATTTACGGGATGTTTGGTCACCCTCTAAGCTAGATTGACTTCTTCAGCAGACAATACAAAAGGAGAAACAAAAGATAATTAGAAACATAACTATAACTAAAACGTTCTTTTAATTGTCCTGTATTTTCATTTCAGGCCTAAACATATCTTGTTTGGTAAATTTTCTCTCTCTGGTGCTGGTACACCTGTTTCCCCATTTAAAAGCCAAGAGTAAAAACTTAATTTTATAGGGAACTTAAAAAACTTGAAGGTAGAAATACTTGAAATAGGTTAACTTTACTGATTAATAACTTTCTTTAAAAAACTGTAATGTAGGTACTTTGACACAAAATTTAAATATTGTCTGATTGCCATGAATGATACATCATTTTAAAGGGCTAGTTGTAAGCTTTACAACAACACCAATTTCATCTTTCTATCTTTTATAGAAGTGGAGTTATGATTTTTTTAGTCAAATTTTTTTGCCCCTTATATAATCTATATATTTTACCCCCAAAACGTGTGACCCAAATTTCACATTTCTGCATAATTTTGCCCACAACATTTTTATTTTTAAAGATAATTGCACCAAATTTTCAGGTGACATTCCTAATCTAATAACCAACACAACGAACAATATAAATTTTACATTACATCAAGACTTTTTATTTTGGATAATTTTATTCCAGGTATGTTGAGAAAATCATGTGTCAAAAAATTTGGAAAAATTATTAATTGTAAAGGCAAAAACAAAAGAAATTACATGTTGATTGTATTTAAACTAAATTTATGATTCAGTTATATTGTAAATAAATTCTTATCTTTATAAAAGGTAAGTAGAAGTCTTTTTTACTACAAAATTAAATGCATGAAATTATAAAAACTATTCAAATCAACCACCACGACACTAATATATGAGCATACAGGTATGTGATTAAATTTTAAAAGGGAATGGGGCTGTTCTGCCTATTATTTTCTATGTAGACTCCTTTAATGTAAAGTTTACAGACTTCTTGGTCTTGTTGATGAATCACAAAATTTCTCCTTCATAAACTTTGTCTTGAGACTTCTTCTTCTTATATTTGAGGGGCCCACGATCAATTTGTTGATCATTATGGCTCCTGGCTTTAATTCAGAGTTTTCCTTCTCTTAGATGGGTTGCCGTCCAAGGCTAACGAGTCCCATCCACCCGGGGTGCTGGGGATGTTGGCTTTAATGGGGATTGAACTCCGGACCACTGGCGCCACTGCTATTTGGTTTGAGACAGTTTAGACCGCTCGGCCACCCAGCACCCATCTTAGCCATCCTCGTCCATATATGCCTTACTGTTGATGGAAGTGGAATAAATTCCACAAAAATCTTCTCTTCAACTTCAATCGAAAATTAAAAATTTTCCCTTGTACCTGAAAGACGACTAAAAATAACATCTAATCATAATCCTCAATATTCACAATTTCTTGTTTCTTTTTGATAATATTCATTTTATGTGGTGATTAAAACTCATTTCTTTTTTTTAAATTTTAATATTAAATTTATTGTAATTTGATATATTAAATAATTGTTTATGTAAACTGCTTTTCTATGTCCTAATTCTAATTAAAAAAAATTATTTCTATGATGATGATGTAGTATCAGAATGCTATATTAACTTAACAATAATTTAAAATTCATAATTAAATTTAAAAATTACTAACTTTAATTAAATTAGGCTTGCAACTGCAAATGTGTTTTAAATATTAGTATTTATTAGCCTAAATTTAGATACTAGGCCTAAATAGACTTAATAGGATTACCGATAAAATAGCAGTTATTGTATGCCTAATTTTTGCAATATTCTCCCATATGAATAGTAATTTATAAGAGAATAACAATTATTTTATTATTACTATTATTTAACAATTAATTATTCATTTAATAATGAAGAACGGTGGTAGAACTAGAACGGATAAATTTGGTACCCGGTGAACAAAACTATTTAAATTTAACTGTAATTATGTAATTTATAAACTAAAAAGCAATCCATAGACCCAAAACTTTTCAAGTTTGGTTAAAATCTTTCCTCATTTATATTTTAAAAAAAGTATTCATTTAAAACGTATTAGAATTATTCAGATGATTAGGGATTAAACAAAAAAGGATCACTGCATAATTGACAGTAATAATAGCAATATCCGGTAACTCGATCGCATAAAATTAACTTTCGATTCAGCGACATTTTCATACCCCCACCTACACTTTAGGGGGAGGCATAACTTTTCAAGGAGAACGCCGATTTTAATCATTTAAATATGTTAATACTCACGAATGAATGTAGTTTCTAAAGCGCTAAACATCTTTCTAAATCCATAAATAACAAAAAAGTATTATGTGATAAACTTACCGAATGGTTACGATGTTCCTGTCCGTGACACAAAAAAAAACAAAAAAACTCGTATTATAAATCAATATATCACCGGAACGCAAAAACTGATACGTCACTGATGAGGAAAGCATTATTTAATAAACAAAGGTGACGTAGTATGCAATTTTCCAAAGATACCGTGTGGCCGTACGCCATATTGTAGAACATGTTTTTTCGACATTTTAGGACATGCGCAGAACGGTGCGTGAACAAGTATTGTTATCCCTACTGTAATGATAAACTTAAAATGGGCATTAAGTTAATATGTCATCTTTGATATACCATAATACAAAATTCATGAATGCAGAGCACGTCTGAGATTGCCAGAAATGATGTCATTTAAGAGGACCATTTTAGGCTATGCATATTGTCATCATGGCGTTTATGTTTGTTGGCACATTACCCATTATTAATAGCGGATATGGGGTTGTTAATATATTCATTTATTTTAGTTATCCAGAATATAAATGAGAAGGATTTTTTTTAAAAAATGTTTCGATACAATTTAAAAAAAAACAAAAAAAAACATAAATAATTGATCTTGGCTTATCAGAGGTTTTAATTTTGGGATTCATTGTCTGGATTGATAACCACTTCTGCTTCATTTAAACAGGCCTACGTTCTGTTATAAAGAAAATGTGAGTCCTGATTAATCATATTAAGACGATATAATTGTTTTAATAATGTACATTTTAAAAAAGAACAAATGATCTTAGATTAAGAAATGAATAAATATAAATCCAAGTCAATGCAGCTAAATATTTCACAAGTTAATAACCAATAGAATTACTAATAATTCTTAACAGATTCATTTCCAAATGTGTCGTCTAAAGAAAATTAAATTTCTTAGTTTACTGAAATACTAAAACAAATTGAAGGAAATAAGCGAAACAAAATACGGGAAAACTGAAAAAAATGACCCAACAATGCAATCAAACTCCCTGCAAGACGCCAGGGAACCAACATCAATATAAACATAATATACAATTAAAAATAAACATTTGATTGCAATGTTTATGTAGTATCTGAAGGGACAGCAAGAGGAATGTGATAGAACATTAGTAGGTAAGAGAATTAATAAAGGCAAAAGGGGACAGAAGAGAGGAAACGTATGTCCACTGTGATTGGTCATAACAAAGAGGGGCAGAGAAAAGGTTATAAGTTATAACCAAGTTATTTCAATAATTTTAGTTTGCACATTTATTTTCTCTTTCAGATGACTAAGCTCTTGTATTATAGTTGCCAAGGTTATTGAATAAACTAAGAATCTACCATGGCAGATCAACAGCAACAGCAGCAACAACAACAAAGTTTGCAACCACAAATACAGCAGCAAACCCAGGCTCCGCCTCAGGCACACCCATCACAACAACAGCAATCCCAGAGCCAATCACAGCAACAGTTAACTCAACCTCAGCAGCAACAACTTCAACAACAAATTCAGCAGCAGCAGCAGCAACCACGAGTGTCCAATGTTGGAACTGTATCCATCCAAGGAATGGTTGCTCCACAGGCTCCCACCCCTCAGCCCACACTGACAGCATCCACAAATGCAATGCGAGCTCCCAGCACACCTATGCCCCAGCTTCAGGTCATTGGGGGTCAATCTTACATACCTCAGTTTCAACAGTACCAACCATATGTATTGCAGAATGCCAATGCCTTAGGTAGGATTCTTCTTAACAATTTTATTATCCATTTGATTGATACTGGTACTGAACATGTATTGGGCTTGATGTGGTAGGGCTGGAGTGGGGTGGGTGGGTATTGAATACAAGCATTAGAAACTAAAAATTTAGGTGGAAGTTTAAATTTAAGATACTTATATTTTAAATGATTATATGGAGTGTGACAAATGCTTCTAAACATATAGAATTGATCGAATTAGAAGTTAAGCTAAAGCTGTTCAAATCATTTCACAATTTCTTATAAAAGATACTCTCTTTTAATCTTTTATACAATTTCTTTCAACTTTTTCAGTAAATGTTTGTTGTTTATTTTCACTAGTTTTCTAATTTCCCCTTCTTTTTGTTGCCAATGGACAAAGTCTAAAAAAAATATAAGGTTTTGTTTGATCTTGTGATTTTTTAAAAAGCTAATAATCTCTTGTAATGAAGCGAAGGGCTTAGTTTTTATAAATGTGTTGCAAGGCAAGTTTAGGATCACAATTTTTTTTAGAAGATTTTTTATGCTGGCTGAGCCCAAATCTCAAAACATTTGTTCACTTAGTGAATGTCTTTATTTATTCCCACCAGCAATGCAGATATCTCAGTTAAATTTTGCTATGCAGCAACAGCAGCAGCAACAACAGCAGCAGCAGCAACAGCAGCAGCAACAACAACAACAAAGAGCTGCAACCAGTGCTAATCCTGGAAGCCCTGGAGGAATTCTGTCTCCTACTGCTGCATCCCAAATGGTGAGAGTTTTAGACTATATTTTAATGTATATTCCTATTATGCTTCTCTTAGTTGGAGCACCTCAGGTATGGAAACATTGAAAAAAAAAAGCAATTGTCACAAATAAATTTTAGGAATTTTGTTATTATAGAATACTTATGAATGTCTGATGCACGTAGAATTTAAACAATACCTATAAAATAAGAAGGGTTTTCTCTATGTGAAATTCACAGATAGGAATAATTTTAAGACATTTATGCTATAATCATACTTTTTCTCTCTAAATTTTGAGGATTGTTCATTGTGGTAATTGATTAAGGATAGAAACTCAAATATCCTTTCAGTGTTCACTTTTTAAGCTGTTAACATGAAACCTGTATCCAGGCAGTACCATTGAGGAAAAATTACAAAAAAAAGCTAACACAAATTTTGGCTAATTTTTCCCCCATTTTAAATTAGATTTTCTCTTTTCTATGACTTTAACTGTCAAAATTCAAAATTCAGTTAGATAAATAACAACTTTTTTCTCTCATAAGTTTTCACATAGTATCTATGACAGCATCAAAAACAATTGCTGTGTTATCGTGACTTAATAACAGATAACTAGTGCATCAGATCTGTCCGACATTTTCCACTATTTCCCCACACATTACACATTTTTCCTATGTTCAGATTAACTTTGATTCTGCGCTAAGACGTGCGCACGCAGAATCTCAAGGAATGTTACCTGTAAGTAGAAACTAGTCAAGAGCTTTGCCTGAACTGGTGTTTATGCTTCATCAAATATCTAATCAACTCAACAGCATTGCTTTGTTAACAAGTAGACTTTTTTATCACTTGATCCAAAGCTCAAGATAATGATATCGATGCTTTTTGTATATTATTATATTGTGGCTGACTAATATTCTATGGACTTGTATTTCAGTACAACACTACTAAATTGTGATGGTTTCTGTCAACTTAAACCACAAAAAAACAAAACAAGTTTTTAATTTTGTTTGCCTTTTATGTAACATACCTGTTCAGTAACCAACTAAATGTTTTTATTAATAAAAATACTTACGACCAAAAAGCCATTTAAACACCTTTTTTTTTAAATGTTTGGTAAAATCTACTACATAAAGCTCAGTGTGACTATGTTTGTATTTTATTTTAATTTTCTACCGTACTTTGCAATGGGTTGCATACAAATTTGACCTGGGCATACCTCCTGACCTACATGTGGTTCCTGGAAAGTTGCGTCAAAATCCCTTTACACGAAAAGCTGTAATTAAAAATTTTTTTAAAATGTATAGAGTAAAGAATAAAAATTATTCTTAAACAACTTGAGAAAGCGCTCTATAAAAATCTGATTCGTTCAAGATAATCTATTTGTGGTGTTGGCTCAATTCAGAGTTTTCCTTCATATAGATGAGTTGCCATCAAAGGATAATGAGTTCCATCCAACCGGGGAGCTGGTGATGTTTTTGCTTTTCTAGTCTTTGGTAGGGAGTGAACTCCATACCACAAGCTTTTGGGATTGGCTCTGTTTAGACAGCTCGGCTCCCACAGACCCTAGGGTTTGAACATTAGAGTAGAATTATCACATAGTTGTGGGATGTGCGTAAAGGGTGCTTTGTTGTACCGAGGGGGATTATTTTAGTAATTTTTATTACCAATTTTACTTAGTAGGTATGTGTGGGGAAGAGAGATTCACAAGTTGTGATTTATCCTTCAATCAGCATTAAGTCAAACTACACCGCAGAATGGTTGGGACATTTTATGAGTATAACAATGTCTAATAGGCAAAAATTTTTTACATTCAGAACCATTTCAGTCTATACATATTTGATTTTCCTTTTCAAAGACTTTGCATCATAATTTTTTTGTTTACATACATGACCCTCCCTTTTGTTGGTTCACTGTCTGTCTTGTGCTGACCTGAAAGGTTTTCTGAATCGATGACTCAGAGTTACAGCTCTGGTGTGCTGGTTTAAGGGAGGTGGGTTTGACACAGAGTTACAGCTCTGGTGTGCTGGTTTGAGGGAGGTGGGTTTGGGATGGTGACTGACAGGGACACAAGAACAAATCCACAAACCTACCCCTTGCTTACAATAACCATTGGTTCTAACTGTAGGCATTTGAGATTGGATGGGTGTGTTGGGGAAGGGCAAATCAAAATGGATCAACGGACGGCAAGCAGCCATTAAATTCACTAAAAAGTAGGAAATAATTTCTTTGAATTGTCTTTTTCCAAATTTAAATTCTTTTGCTACATAGTGCTCTGATTTTAGATAGCAAAGGCCATAAGGAAGACCATTACGATGAAGCTAGTATATTATATTCTTATAATATTTAATGTTGTTATCATGTACTCAGCTACACACATTTAACCAATGCTAAAAGTATACATTTCTTTGAGGGAATTTATTCTTTATAAACTAGTCTGTTGTATGACTTGATTTTTCATAAACTAGTCTGTTCTATAGAACAGAGCTCCGCAACTGGTATGCTTCTGCTGACTGGTGTGCCGCAACACTAAGTCAGGTGTGCTGCGATCAACTTCCTCCAGGAGGATGAAAAACGTGACGAGGACACAAATTTGTTAAAACAAAGGGATAATGATTGTCTAAATAACAAGCTGTCAAAGGTGTAAAGTCAAGTAGCACAGCACATCTGTATGTTTTAATTTTGCGGTTCACAGGATAAGTCACCTTCTCAATCATTCTGTCAGTGTGTCTGTAGTCGGAAGCCACCTTAGACTAGGTGATGTGTACTGGCTGTTTACATTTTTTTGTACACAACCTATCGCCAGCAAATGAAAACAAACCCGACAAAACAAAGCCCCATCCAGTCTGTGGAAAAGTGTTTCATCTCATTTATTGATGCAGTCAGGCCCGCGCAAAAAATATTGTCTTTGTTTTATTATCATTTTTGTGTGGCTAGTTTGGTTTTTGGCATTGAAATTTATATGGTAGCTTTACACGTGAATGTCTCAAGTACCTAAGTTAGTTATCGCTGCCTTTGTTTGTATCAAAAGACTAATTCAACAGTGTGTTTGAATGGGCTGGTCTCTTTGTATTCAATCATTCGGTATACATGGAACATACAGAGTTTTTTAAAATCAATTATAAAATGACCCCTTTCAACACGGTTACACGCAACTTGTGTGATAAGTCAAATATTGTGAAAGTACAGTGCAAAGTTTGCTATATCCAGTAGAGATTTTGGAAGATTAGTGAAGATCTGGCTTCCAAACCTGAGTGTATAATTTGAAAATGAACAAGTTACCAACGAAGCTATTGTTCCTAGCAAACTTATTCAAGTGAAAATCTTAATCTAAGGCAAACAATAGGTTAATCTCTGAACTTTTCTGATAAGTGTTAGGAGATAGTCATAAAGTTTATAGATAAATATCATGTCAGAAAAAAACCCACACATGCTATTGGTTTTAATTTTAAAAATCAATAGACGGTCATGCTTAAAAGAAATTTATGGTGAACTTGGAGTTGGTTGGTAATGAGCCAAAGATGAAACAATTATTTTCAGCAAACCAGGCTCAAACGTCTCATTGTTATTGTTAAAATAAAGCTTTTTGATATTGGTATGCAGTTTTTTTTTAATTTTATAGTTACCCTTTATGTTCTATTGATATTGGGGCTTAAATAGCAAAGGCTATTTTTTTATTTGGTACAAAAAATCTACTTGCTCATGTTAATTCCACATCTAGAAAAAATTAAAGAAAAACAACCCTAAACTGCAGGTACAAATATAAACATTGCATCGGTTGTTTTTTCCCCTTGTTTTAATTTCGGTGAGCAGAGAAAAATCTGGAAGGGGCCCAGGTGTGCCGTGGGTGAAAAAATGTTGCGGAGCACTGGTATAGAATAAAAAAAAAAGTCATACATCAGCTTTAGTTTCCACTCTGCTTGAGCTGAGTTTTTTAATTCCTAAGAATTCCACATCTTAATTTGTTATTATTCTAAACAATTTTTTAAAAAAGTTCATTATTTGAGTTATTATTTTAAAAAAAAAGAAATTAATCCCTTAATAAATAAAATATATATTGATTTTTTAAATATTTGATCTGTTGCTAAATTAATAATTTAATTAATTAAAAAAAAATAGAACTATTGGACTGGTCAGTGTCATTTTTTGAAATGATCACATCTTTTTTTCTAGAGAATCCGCTTTACTCTCTGTGATTTAAAAAAAAAAAACCAACAACTTTAATTCATATTTTATTTTTTCCCAATCCTCACAATTTAAAATAACTTTGTTTAATGAGAAATTAAAAATCAAATAAATTCCAAGCCTGTACTAATAATTATTGTTTACACCGTGGTCTGCAGCTGACCTTGGATTGCATCAAGGCACATGTTTAATAAGTGGTCACTAACTCGACGTCAACCTGGGTATATTCTCCTAGTAAAGGGAGACCTTTAGAGACAAGATGAGCATATCCAAGTGTGATTAGCTCTCTTGATAATTAACTTAGTACAAGATGGCTCATTCACTAGCTAGCAGAATTAGTAGTCAAATTAAAGTACTTTTGAATGTCATTTTATTCCAGGTACTTAGATATAGCTAGTGTTAGATTTTTATTCATTTCTTTGTATGTAGATTTTCTGTCTCTATTCATGTTTCATTCCATATAATAAAGCACCTTTACATCAAGCACCGATTGTCTTCATTTTAGCCAGTAGCGTCTAAAATTTACCTTGGTTAACACCCTTTTAATTACCCTCTATATGATGAATTTGTTCAACTTCCTTGAACACCCCAAGGGTACTAATTATTTCCAATTTGCTATTTTTTATACAGGTTTTTAATTAGAATATATTTACCCCAATTCCAATTACCATTTTTTTCTTCTTAATCATGATGAAAACATAAGTTATCATATTATATTTCAGCCTCCTCACATGTCCTTGGGCAATGGAAACAATCTCATCTCAAACACAATGCAAGGGATGCTAACCCAAGGGACAGTAGGGAACGGAAATGCAAAAGGGCAAGGAAACGGTAACAAGGGTCAGAATGTCCAAGGCCAAGGTCAGAATACGGCAACCATAGCATCTATGGTGGCGAAGACACAGACCGTGTTACCAGCTCAGCAGACGGCTACTGCTCCCATGGTTCTAGGCCAGATAGGAGTATTCTCAAGCCAAGCAAATGCGAATTTGGCCAACAATTTTGTCCCTCAGGTAAACTTGTTTAAAAAGAATAAAATTGGAGTTTGCTGATGATCGTTAATTTTTTTAAAAATCTGAAAACTAGAAATACTCTTTATTTTATGTTAACTAGATTGTAATCAATGTTAGTAGAAATACTTTTTGCAAAGTTAGTCATTAAAAAGTCAAAATTATATAAAATAGTATTATTATCATGAGTTTTGTCTTAAAAACTTATGAATATTCTTATATTTGAAACTGAGTAAACTTAATGCTAAGGAATTAGGAACATCTTGTCTATGGTATTTACAGTTGGTTGGCATCTACCTACACAAAGCAGCAATCAATGGTTGAAGAACGCTCATGCATCTGTTTAATACAAGGTGCTTTCTATTTATGTCTAGCAATGTACTGTGAGCACCCACCAAGGTGGAATTCGGCTGAACCAAACCCAGATGGTAAATAGTGCCGGCCAGATCATCACATCTCAGCCCATGCAGAACATCTTGACCAGTCAGGCGATCATGCAGGCCATGGCCAACCTGCAGATGCAGCAGGGAATTCCCATAGCTGCGGCCACGGGCCATCAACAGATCATCAACCAGGGACAGTCCCAAATGCCAGTGAGTAGATGCATTTATCAATACAATAAATAGACTAATGTTTAGATGCATGTATCAACATACTTTGACAAACACTGATGAAAAGATGCATGCATCAACATTGCATACAATAAATAGAATATTGATTAGATGCATGTATCAACATACATTAAATAGCAATGATGAATAGTTGTAAGAATTTGTTGTTTAAATCACAGATAATAGAAGACTAAAAGTTACCACAAGATTCTACTTAAGCTTCTTGATAAAATCACCAGTTTCAATATATTATGTATATGCACTGACATATTTTAAATAAATAGAATGAGAATCCTTGGTTAAAGCCATCAGCAAAAGCATGCGTCTAACAAGTGGTTGGGTTTATTTGACAGGCTATTTTTGCAGCAGGACAGAATTTTCTCATACGTGCCCCTGGTCCCATCCAACAACAGCCTATAACTATGGCCAGCATGCAGGCGTTTGCTGGAATGAAACCACAACAGCAACAACAGCAGCAGGTACAACAGCAGCAATCGGGGAAGGTAACATATTTTACTTGGTTATTCCTAGTCTTTTTATATGCAGCAGGCTGGTGGGTGCAAATACTGACACTATAAAATGGAAATATTGACAGTTTGATATCGGTATAGAAAATGCTTGACAAATGAAAATCTTATTTCTGTGTAAGATACACAAGCTATTAAAATTATTTAACTCATTCCCTCCGGCAGCGCTGCTTCCGGACTTAATTTATTTTCCTGAGAAAAGGGAAGCAACTCAGTTTTGAAATTGATTTATATTTTTAAAATATTTTTTTAAGTTGCTAAATATTCTTTAATGTTAATGAATTAAGAACAAATGCAACAAAAAATGAATAAGGTTTAATATAAATATAACATTAGCGGGGAAAAAATAACGTACAATGGCCAAAAAAATCGATTTTGGGCACCTCGGACGAACACATGCTACATATAGACGCGCCGTACTAAAGCACACATAGTTTTAAAGTGAAACAAGATAAAAACTTCCGGTTTCTAAATTAAAATCACGCAGAAATCACGCCATAGCCGGAAGTCTCGAGGGACGCGAGATTTCATTGCTATTTTTAACTAAAAATAAGAGAGGTGTGTCGCTATGCGCCGGGACGCATCAGGAGAAACCCCCCAAGGACGCATTTAGTCGCAACCGTCGGGAATGAGTTAAGGAATGGATACATATAAGAGGATAGCTTGATACATATTAGAGGATTAATGGATACACATTAGGAATAAAAGGACACCGTAAAGGGGGAGAACAAAAAAAAAGATGTTTTTTCTTCGGCAAACTGATTAAAGATTGAAATAATCCCATTTTAAACTTATTTTTTTTCAAAAAAATTTTGTGTGTTCTTTAGTTAATTCCATTTGATTTCTCCAGCAAACACCCTCAGGGAAAGTTATGCTGCCATCAGTACCTCGCACTCCAGTGACGGCCAAAATTCAGCCCAACGTATCCCAGCCAGCCAAGCTGAGTGTCCCAGCAACACCAAGAACATCAAAGTCTCGTCCCAAATCCCAGTCAAAGCCGGCCACCTCCACCATTGTGTCTCCTTCTACCACAACCATGAAGTCCCCGATGGCCGCCACTGGCGTCACAACCATGTCGTCATCCACGGTGACCACCGTGACCACGGCGGCCGCAGTCTCTGTACCACACCAGGTGGTGGTGTCGACGGCAGTTATTGCCACATCATCTGCGCCCGCCGTCGCCGCTCAAGTTGAAGTCATTGAAGCTCACCCGCATCCTCCACTATCATCTCCAGTCTCCCAAAGTTTGGTTCAGATTCCTTCTGTCAAAGCTGGTCCTGAACCAGAGGTGAGGTTTGTTCAGTTAAACAATCATAGAAGGCTTTTAGAGCTTCAGGTGAGCCCGAGAAGGCTGAGAGCTATGGAACAGACCTGTTTACTCTTGCGATTTTGGCGTACAGTGTACAATTTTAGGTATACATTATATTTAATGTATGTTTATTTTTCTTACTATTAAGATAATGTATTGAATGATTTTGTGTTGATATTGTATGGTTTTAAGAGTTTGAGGGTAAACAGGTCTGATGGAATGAAACAGATGTAAGCTGTATGAATTTTTTTGGCTATGTGAATCATTCATTTATACCGCCAGTAACAGCAGGCAACACTGTCCTAACTTGTCTGTATGGGTGACTGGGATGCACAGTCAGTAAGACATAAGTATGCTGAAGGTCTGGCGTTTTCTAACTTCATCAGCACCAAAAGTCCACACCAGCTTTTCTCACATGTGGGATAAATGGACTAACTGGTTCTAACCAAAGCAAACATTTACAAATCAAAAGTGCTGTAATATGTACAGGAAAAAATCTACAACTTTGAGAAAAGCAAAAACAAGAAAATAATAATTGTTAAAATTATTTTCGAGTAAACTTTCCCAGCTGATGAAATATTCAGTTACATTCAATTCTGTGAATTAGAAAAAAAAAACAAAGAAAAATGTGCATAAAATTTTCAGTACCTTGTCTTAGACTTAATTTGTTTTTTTCCATCTTTGTTTTAGTCTGAGTCTGGAAAAGTACAGACCACATGCACAACAGTTGAGTCTTCTCTCAAAGAAAAGATCAAAGCCACCGTGGCATCCTCCTCTTCCACTGTCACAACCAGCATTTCCACTTTGACTGTCACCAAAAACATTGCTAGCACCAGCTCTGGGGTTATGTCACCCAGAATGACATCCCCTGTGAAGTCTCCTCCAGAGGTGAAAATAATGACAATAGACAACATCGTGTTGGAAGAAAAACCAATTTTACCTGAACTGATGAAAACACAAGGAGCTGTCATTGACCCTGCGGCTTTAGAGGCTGCAGGCTTGACGACACTCATCAAAGAGACCAAACCAGTGACGATGGTGGAGCCGTCCCTCCATCTTCCTGTCATTGAAAAGCAGCGAGCCATAGTGAAACCACATATTATAACACATTTCATCGAGGGATTTATCATTCAGGAAGGTCGAGAACCTTTTCCAGTAAGTACACACTACAAGAGTTAACGGTTAATTTTTAAAAACCATCTTCATGTCTCCATCTGAGAACCTCTGACTTGAGGAGATGAGTGAGAGACTCTTTTGGTTGAACCTTTCATATCTTCGTATGAGAACCTCTGACTTCAGGTGAGTGAGAGACACTCATCACCCAAAAAGTGATGTTTGAAGTCTTGTGTTTGTTATGTTCTGTTTGAGGTCTTTCTCCCGAACTACAATGTTTATTCTTCTTTCTATTACTAAAACATAATATTATATTCCAGTGAATACTATGTCTATGGAAATATTTTTTTTTCCAGCTGGGTCGCTCACAATTGTATTCCCTTTTTCTTTACTGTTGATGAAAAAGCTCATGATCTTAACAGGTTCAGCAGTCTTCCCTACTCCAAGAATTTATACCACCTAAAGCCAGTCTTCAAATTGTCAAAGAATCTGAGGAAGAAGTGACAAGCTATGATGACGAACCCCCAACTTTACTTAGTCAAGTTGACGGTAAGAGTTCTTCATTATGGTTTGATGCACTTTGGGCATTGATGGAAAGCCATTTTAAAAAACCTATCTTGTCACTAGTCTTGCAAAACTACTTTTTGAAGAAAAAGGCTGGAAAATATTTTGCAAAGATTTCACCATGATACTGTACATTGATAAACTCACATACGGTAAATATTTAATTATAAACTAGGTTTACTGTCATGGACAAACATAAGGTAAATATATTAAAATATCTGATTCTTGAGTCATCTACATCCTCAGTATCTACGTCGGCAGTAATCTCTCTACTAATTCAATATTAATTAACAATTCTCTAACCATGTTTGTACCCCAGCCCACCTGTCCACTCACCTGTCCAGCCATCTACCTCAACACGCGGATGATCAGCAACAGCAGAAATCCCCAGTTAAGCTACTTAAATGTGAGTTGTGCCAGAAGGTTGGACCAGCTTCCACATTCAATAATTCAGGAAGGTTTTGTTCTCTCTCTTGCTCAAGACGGCACAATGTGAGCCATACTAGGCGTGTTGGCTTATACAAGTCCAGAGGTGGGTTCACCATTCATCTTCTCTATTCTATGTCCGTGGTGTATGTCTCTTTCATTTTGTTCATTGTCAAACTTAACAAACTTCCTTACATCTCGGAGAGCTAGAATACTAGCTAGAGCTAGTCCTGGGTGACATTTAAATACTTAAGTAATTGATAGATCCTCAAATGGCAAGTCCTTCAGAAATGTCAAAATTTTTGTGTACAATGAAAATGGAGAAATTTTACTTTCATTAAAATATTTGCTTGATGATTAAAGGAAATAAAAGGTTTGACCCCCCAAAAAACATGATGAATAAAGCAAAAAAAAGGTTTGACCCCAAAAAAACCATATATTTGAGCTTGCTTTCTTCAATTAAGTCCATTGTGTATTAATGGAGGCTGTTGGTTGTGTTCTTCCTTTCATTACTTAAAACTAATTCTAATTTTATTGGTGTTTTAAATTTTTATTTAACAAATCTGTGATCAGGTACAACAAGAAAGAGGAAGCATATACTTGGCCGCAAGAACTGGCGAGTGGCCAAAGGTGGCAGACTCACCTATGGCATAGCATCAAATAATAATAAAAATAGTCATGACAACAATGAAGACAGCAACACAGCAGTAAGTGAATTAATTCTGTGACTTGTTGATGATATCCATGAGTGGTTCTCAAAGTGGGTGGTATCACATTTCTTTGTTGTAGTTCGGGGCACTTACATTTACATTAGTTTTAGGGGGACGATGGAAAAAGATATCAGTAGTAAGTATTTTTATTTGAAAGTCATAAATTTGAATCTGCCACAGTTGTTCTCATAGAAAATTTTAAATGGATCCTACTCCAACTCACAGGAATTTTTAAAAATGGAAAGTCACATTTTTTAAAACATGGTTTCTCTTTGACCACTCTCAGCCTGTTGGTGATGAGATGAGCAGCTCTAACAGTGCACAAGATACCAGCTCATCAGCTGCGTCACCGTCCAGATCGCAGGACTTTGAGATGGATGTTGATGCCAACCTTCCAAGAACCGACCCGGGCAAATGGACAGTGAGTACATTAAAGTCTTGATTTTACCAGATAAACTTATTTATTGTCTGGTTATAAAATTTTCAAGGGTATTTATCAATGAAATGTTTTTTATAAAAATATATGACTGAGCCCTTTTATGGAAAGAAAAATGTAAAATAAAAAAAATTCATATATTTATAATGCCCGTCTTTGCCCACATATGATTTCAGTTATCCCATGTTAAATGTGAACAAGTAATAAGTAATCCCATGTTGACTCCTGCTGATATTCCCATGAACAGGTGACTGAGGTGTATGACTTCATCCAATCCATGCCTGGATGCCGTGAGTATGCTGAAGAGTTTCGCTCTCAGGAAATTGACGGTCAGGCTCTGCTCCTGCTAAAAGAAGACCACTTGATGACGGCCATGAACATCAAACTGGGACCTGCCCTGAAAATATGCTCTAAGATCAACTCTCTCAAATCTGAGGCAGTGCCCACATAGAGGGGCCTAGAATTGGCGTCCTGCTACTCGTCCTTGGCTCTCTTCCGGCAATATGGAGAACAAAAATAATGGCCGTTGAGATATTGTCTTTTAAAAGTTTTGTGCTGCGTTACAGATCAATTCTAAAGTTTATGGAGGAATGTTAAAAAAATGCATTGACTTTTATAAATTTATAAGGATCTAAAAAAAAAGCATAAACATACAACGTATCCAATCCAACTAACCAATGTTGTTGGTATTTTAAGTTGTTTTAAAAACCAATAAACACCTGATAGTCATACACAGAATGAAACCAAAGCCTTTGCAAAATACTCTGACACTGAGAAGGCAAGGAATCTATCATGGGTATGGAAATGCACTACTATTGAAATTGTGCTAAATGAATCTCAGCAACAAATAGTTGATCTCTGTGTCCTGAGACTTGCATGCCAAATTTTAGAGCAAAGGAGCCCCTTCCTTTAGCTACACCTCTGCCAAGAACCAGAGATTCATAATGTCCATAGGAGTATATATGGTAAATTGTTCATTTAACCTATACATCCTTAGAGGTTTTACTTTCCTTTGGCTCTGACTGTCAAGATATCTCTGAGCATTGATTTGGCATCCCTGACCAGGTTTTATAGCCACATATTTGTCTACCAAATTTTAAGGCCAGTTTTAAGTTCAGCTCATCTCTTCTGAATTGATAAAGTTTTCTTGTTTTTTTATGTTATCACTTCCTCTCTCGATCTCTCTTTATCTCTTCTCCCCCCCCTTTCCGCCAATGTATTTGTTGTATATTTCAGGCACAAGGCTTGATTTGTACTTGTATAATAAAGTTCTTGTATAAGAAGTTAGTACAGTTTTCCTTACTGAGCAAGTCCATTGAAGGATCAGTGAGCTTGTATGTTCAACTATGTGGTTCTATGTTGTATTACTGGTGTTGATCTGCTGAATGTTGTGAGTTGATGGTTGTTTTATTACTTTACGTATTGATCTCTGTGCCAGGTTGGACCTGGCTTGACAAATAATGGTCCATGTCATGCTGAGCAAGGTGCTCCAATGTCAATTTAATATTTGCAGCAATATCAGTTAAGATGCTGGTTGTGTTCCTGGACAAAAGAAATATGATATTCTCATTTAGCCGCTTATGGAAAAGTGACCCCCATTCATTGTGCACTATTATCTAACTGTAACTTAATTAAAGATGGACTTTCATAAATACTAAACGGCGGTTGGCTCCTATTATCTTTGGTAATTATACTCTATTAAAAAATGTCAAATTTAAACGAATTGCTTTTTTATTGGCTATTTTTTTTTTCACCTTGATAATTATAATTTACAGAATGTTTTTTTGTTTTGTTTTTTTTTTACACTGGCTTAAAGTTTGACAACAATGAATGTGTGAAATATTTGTGGTAATTAGTTTTCAATGACCAATTTAACTGTATATAAGTAATTGCCTGTAAATTGATTTTCATTTTAAAAAAAAATAATTTTACTGATAGTCTCAGTTTTTTCTCTTTTCAATGTGAAAATGTCCCATGCAAAGATTAATTGATGTGTATAATAAAAACATTCACATATTGCATTTACAACTGTTGTTTTTTTAAACATTTTTTTTGTTTTTGTATGATTCAAATTATACATGAAATAGAAAGAAAAAAAAAGAAAGATATTCTTAGATATCTTGACAGAATAGTGAGATGACTACAATTGATCACACCAGTTCCAGTAATCTCATTAAGTTCAAATGGTTAAAGACTATAGGAAAAAAAAACAACTAAGATTTTCAAACAGGACCAGGCTAGTCATTGGGGATATGGAAAAGTATTGAAAGTGGGGATAAATTGCATATCTCCTAATAGTGTGAGTGACTGAGTACTGCGGGACCACAACAAGAGGCTAGTACGAGGCGGTCAAGTTAACCCTTGGTTCAGCTGGTCTCTTTATCTTGGATTTTTTACAACATCTATATTGATAACAGGAGTGGCTAAGTTCTGACATTTATATCAGGACATATCAGCTATTCTTTGTGAAAATAATGCTGTGTCTTTTTGACATGCCAAACATTTATATCAGGACATACCACCTATTCTTTGTGAAAATAGCGCTGTGTCTTTTTGACATGTCAACTTGTACATGAATTCAACTTGTATTTAATTCTATACAAAAATGATTCCAAGAAGATGAATGGCCCTAAGTTCTGGAGCAAAGAATTTTAAATTGAGTGCTGCTCCACTGAATCGTTACTTAATTATGGAAACTTATTTCACCATGCAATCAAATAAACGACTTGTGACCTCAAAGGTTCCACCCATGTCCAACGTTACAAATTATTAAAATATTTTGTTGACTTGCTCTTAATTAGGCCTATAAGAAATGTGAAATAATACCAGCCCATTAGAATTCAGAGAAAATGGTGCAAGCCACAACAAGCGGCTCACAAAAAATGCATAGCCAAAAATTATGAATGTTAACATATTTCTTGTAAATTACTTGATTCGATGCACCTAGTTCAACATAATCACGCTGAGCTCTGCAAATGTTTTAATATTTCAAAATTTACACAATAAAGATTTATTTCATAAAATAAACAACAATCCAAAAAAAATATGAAATTATAGATGCCATGGTCTATGATACGTCTCACTCCGTTGCTAAACCAGCACTAATTTAAAACCAATAGTGCATTCATTTTATTAAAACAAATAGCCTATTCCTCAACTAATAACTAATTTATAGCTTATATCTAAAGTAAAATAATTAGGGAGCCCCTGACATGACGGATTGTTTCAATGAGATTTTTACCCAAATTTTATTAGAATATTCAAATAAAACGTTTTATGGTGAAAAGAGCCGCATAGATTCATTCAAAGAGCCGCATAGATTCATTCAAAGAGCCGCATAGATTCATTCAAAGAGCCGCATAGATTCATTCAAAGAGCCGCATAGATTCATTCAAAGAGCCGCATAGATTCATTCAAAGACCCGCATGGTGGATGGCAAATTAACAGGTATACCATTATCCTGAACTGTGATGACCTAGAAACAAGGATTCACAAATTAGGTGACAACGCGCTGCGGGGAGCCCAATTACCAATATTACATCATTGACACTGTTTCACTTGTTGTACCCGTTGCGTTATCGTCTGCTAACGTTTTACGGCCTGGTTAATTAAGAACATTGAAAAATTAGGTCGCAGACCAGAGCTGCGGAGTCGTCAAACATTTTAAAACTCCGACTCCTAATGACAATGACGTGTCTTTACACGACTTCGGTTATAAAATCAACTCCAAGCATGGTTGCAATTTTATACAGACTTTCTTCTGTAGCCTTGTGTCAATACAATTAATACATCAAGACAAAGAACATCTATTTCGGAGATATTCATTGATGATGTTACATATTTATAATCGGGAAAACGCATTCTTTCCATAAAAGCGAAACGGAGTGGCTATAGGTGCTCGGGTACCTATAGCAGCAAATGCCATTCGGTCCCAGCTGGTCACGTGAGGTGTTATATATATTTGGTTGGTCAAGTGATGGTTATGACGAAGACTTCCTGTTGGTTTGCCATCTTAGAGCCATTGTTATCAAATCGAGAAATGTGACATATTTTGAAGACTTTTTATGCAGCGTTAAAGAAACACGAAGAACGTTTTGACGTACAGCTAAAAGCAAGTAAGAATACGTTTATGTTTATAATTTTATTGTATTTTTAAATTCTATATTAAATATAGTTCTATAATCATTAACATGACATCAATCAAGATTCAAGATCAGTTGTTGTTTTTTTGGCGGCAAATCAGCTACTTACTGTCTTATCTGATACTTATCTGTAATTGTAATGAAATGTTTGTCTGCGAATATTCGGACCTGGTATCAGAAGTGGATACTTCAATTTTAATTCACCGCAAAAATTATTATTATTCACACTTCCCATAAAACAAATTTTCTTTTGAATAAAAAAACAATTCGGAGAGATCAGCCCGCGGCCGCCATCTTGGTTATCGTGACCCACGAACTTATGTCCTAAATGTATCCCTAAACCTAACCTGAACCCTAAATGTATACCTAAACCTAACCTGAACCCTAAATGTATACCTGAACCTGATCAATCTGAATTAGCTTTAAAAACGTTTAATTCAAAAATTATTACACACATTTTTCACATTTCCATTAAAACTTAAAACACTTCACACTTCCAATAAAACAAATGTTATTTTGAATAAAAACATACTTAATTCTTTAAAGGTCCTCCGCTACTGTAGTGGCCAAAATTGAACAATATCATCTAGAATGGCGTTTAAGACACATGAACTCACACATATACAAATCAAGCATATGTCTGTGTGTGCCGCTGTTGCGCTTGTTTCTCTCTTTTGCAGATTTCCACAAACGTTCGATGCTTTGGGTATTGGCTATTGTCACCTGAGTTTGGATCCAAAAACTTAACAGAATGAATGAGCATTTGATGAGTGAATCCCGGAGTGGTGCCAATTGCATTATATTATTTATATGCTCTCCATTGATCTGACATGACTGTTGTGCCCAGCAGGATGTGTGCTGTGATTATCGGTATAAGTGTGATGTGTAGCTGCTGATCTATCTTGTGCAGAAAACATAAAACACTCACTAATCTCCTGAAAAATGCCTCCAGAGACCCATTGTTGTGGCAAAATTCGCCCGACATGATTTTTTCTGCAAGTTAACAGACTAGGCGATTTCAACTGAGAATAAACCTGACTTACCGGTGTAAATTATGTGAATTTTTTTATGGATGAAGCATGAATGGATCCTAACACATGTGTTTTGGGAATAAGGCCCATGGAGGCCCTTTAGACACCCCTGGCACAGAGTTCTACTCCTTTTCCTGCCCTCTGGGTACTTTTCGGTTGCTTCAGGCCGAGTGATCCTTTTCACCATTGTGCATCCAATTATGGTTTATTTGAGCTGGGTGTTACTGAGAAAGTTGTCTGCATACTTATTAGTTATTATTATTCTCCATATTTATTAGTTATTATTATTATTCTCTCTCACAAACATTTTAATGATATATTGTATAAAAATTAGCATAAGCACTCAAATGGGGTGCTTATCCCATGAGGCATATTTAAAGGCTCTATTTTTTCTAAAAATTCATAGGGGTCATCTCTATCTGATTCAGAACCCCTAATCCAAGGATTCACAACATTATCGTAAACATAATCATTTTGATTGTCTTCATTACTTTCCTGATTGTTTTCGTCAGTGTCAGATTCACTGCTAGACAGCAAGAGATCAAGAGGGTTACATCCCAAGAGGGTTAACGAAAAAGCTTTCGGGTGACCAGCTCTACTACCAGCAATGCTGCTAGTACATGAATTTCAAATATCCTAGTCCAGAGTGAGTTTCCGAAGCGTTTTGGAGTCACAGCACCGTTGCTGCACCCACGTCTTTTCAATTTTGCTCTAAGCCACATTCTTTATGCACTTTAAAATAGCATTTTTTAAACAATCTAATCCATTTTTGAAACCTTGTACTTATACAAGAAGACATACCTCAATAACTTCACTTGACTCTATCAAAATAATATTTAATTGATACAGCATAGACGCTGCACAAAACCAACTGCTACTTTAATAAGTGCAGAGTACCAAGTAGGTTGGAGAACTAGTGAAAAATACCAACTTAATTATAAATGGCTTGCATTAAGTCCATTAATTTTTTAACACTTCAGGTTGCAGCAGGACACAGTCTGGGAGCCTCTGTCCTAGTCAATTACATGCCATAATAAACACATATCTTTACATTTTCTCTTAACACCTAGCATCATCCTAATCCCCCTTCCAATAATAAATATTAGTATCTTGATCCTTTGAATGCACTTTATATAAAGATAAATCCAGCTAGTGCATGTAAGAAATATCAAAAGACTGTATTGGAATGGTTAGTTTCACTGATTAGGTTAGGGTAAAGTCTTGCACATTCCTAATTTAGTTAAAATTAGATAAAAATCCCTAAAAAATCTAAATTTCCTTCTGACATATTGAGTGCATTTTTGCTGTAAAAGAAATAATTAAAAAATGCAAAAGAGCTATTTAGATGGATTGCTTCTTATATTTAGATTCATCTGTCGCTATAGCATACATTTTTTTGGTTAAAATCATAGTAGTAATAATCAAGAGTTACATCTTGCAGGTTAGAATTATATTACCATTGATCTGTGACAAAAAATCTTATTTAAATTTTTAAAGATTCACTACTGTAATGCAGTTGTAGTTAAAATCTTGCACTGAGCTTGACGTGACCATTTTGAAGGTTTTCTTTTGTTCATTTAACACCACCTCCCTAATTCCAATAGTGGTAACTATTTAATAGATTAAATAATCAAAGCTATTCAACTTTCCCTTAGAGAACCAGGAATTTTTTGTCGAAACACCCATGTAAACATG